GGGCCGGGCAGGGCCGGGCCGGGCCGGGCCGCAGCTCCGCGGCGCTCGGTGCGGAGCGGGACACGAGGGCGCAGCGGGGCGGAGATGCGAGCGGGGCGGTCGGTACGCACCGGCGGGCGGGAGCGGGGCGGGGCGGCCCCGGGCCCCTTTGTTCGGCGGGAGGCGGCGGCGCGCCGCCCCACCGCTTTGTCCGCCCTGCCGGCGGGAGCCGCTCGTCCCGCTGTGCCGTGAGTGGGGCCGGGGTGCTGCGGGAGAGAGCGGGGCGCTGGGGCACGGCGAGGCAGGTGGGCAGGGGACGGTGCCCCGGGCGGCGGGAGCCCCAGGCGTGGGCTGGGGCCGCGGGCGGGCGGGATTGTGGGGCTGGGGCTCTCGGACAGGCGGGGGCAGCTCGGCTGGAGGCCCTCGGGGCGCTGGAGTCGGTGGGACCGGGGTACCCCGAGAAGGTTGGTGTTGAGGGCTGGTTCCCCAGGGTGGCAGGGGTCAGTGGGACAGCGGTGTCCGGACGGGCAGGGGCCGGTGAGCCCCAGGGTGGGATGCCTGCTGCTGTGTCCATGGGCAGGGGAAACTGGGGATCTCAGGCAGGGCAGAGGGGACTGGGAGCCCCACGAGGGAGGACTGGGGTCGGTGGGACTGAGGCGTAGGTGTAGGGCCCAGACAAGGTATATGGGGCTAGTCCTGACTCCCAGCGTGGCCGGGAGGCCCTAGATGGATGTGCTGCTTCGAAAACTGGCCTCTGGTCACCTGCCTCGGATAGGGGACAGGCTGCAGGTAGCTCTGTGCTGTCCTGGCCGTGCCCACTTCTGCTGCCATCCCACATTGCCACCCATTCCCGTGCCACACTTCTATGGCCACCACGGCAATGCCACTGTTCTTGCTTTCCTTGGGCTTGGTACTTGTCGTGGTTTGACATAGATTGGGTTTTAGTTGGGGGACTGTCCTCCCTGGTCCTCTCACCTTGTTTTTCACCCTGGTGCCAAGGTAGTGTGCTGCTAGAGACTAGGGTAAAGGCAGACACAAAGCATCCAGCATCCAGGGAGGCGGTGGGGGAGAGGGTATCACACCTCACAGCAGTGAAACCTTGCAAGGTATATGACCACAGGACCATGGTGGCCCTGATGGGCTGAATTCAGGTCCCTGGTGCCAGCCCATGGCACCTCCTGCAGCAAGAGCATGTCCCCAGCATGGATGCTTGTGCTGGAAGGACTCTTCTGTTTAGGTGATGTTGGTCAGGAGGCTGTCTGAACTTAGTGTAAAAGATCCTCTTATTGTGGACAACAGTGGAATCAGTGCAGCATCAATCATCATCTACGCGGACATGCTGTGGCCAGAGGTGATGGGATGTGGCTGGCAGGGCCCGCTGGGGGCTCTGTGCGGTCGCATACCCTCTGTTCGCCCTGGGCATCCCTGCCATCTGCTGTCCTGGTTTGCATCATCTCATGCACAAGCTGCTCAAACCAGGGGTGGCAGTGGCTGGTGTGGGTGTCTTGTGTCTTCTTTGGTCAGGAGATGTGACATGGCCCTTGTAGTTTCCTCCCCATTCTCTGGTGTCAGCTGTTTTGACAGAGCTTTGTGCAATTCCTTGGCTGCCCCACATGCTATCACTGTCCTGCCCCCTGTTCCATCCCTCCGGCAGCCCTTGCCGTGGAGCTGCCGGATGCTGTGAGTGAGCACTGGCCACTGCAGGCTTTGAGGCTGGGGTCCTGCAGGAGACAGAGCACAGCACTGAGGTTTGGTGGAAGAGTGATGCTGCATCTCTGCCAGCCCTCGAAGGACAGCTCTGTGGAGTCTGCGGAGTGAAGAGGAGCTGGCTGATTAGCATGTGGTGGGGCATGCTGCTCTGGGGACCTGCCCCCCTCAGCCAGGGCTCAGGGCTGGCAGCTGCAGTGGGCCAGTGGAGCTGCCGTGTGTTGCCTTCCTCCAGTGGCCTGTGGACCCCCATGGGAGGGTGTGAGTGCTTTCTCTGGTTAGGGACCTGTCCGGTGCCAGGTGATAAATGGGTGCCGTGGCACCGGGCAGAAGGAAGTGGTTTCTGTTCCTGCCTGTCCCCTCCCGGTCCCCAGCTGGTGGGTGCTGCCCTGCACTGGCATGTTTGTTCTGGTTGTGACTGTGCTCACTCTTCCCCTAGATGTGTCCCTGCAGGCAACCAGGATGTCCCAGCCTTTCCCCATCACCTCCACCCACCTGGCTGGTGGCAGGACAGGAGCAGGATGCAGACGTGAGCACAGGGAGGCGGTGCTGAGCAGGGGATAAAGTTATGGGGAGGCAGCTTCCTGAGCAGGGCTGTGTTTATGGCTCTAGATGTGGGGTAGGGGAAGGGACACTGGTGGTGGAAGAGGGAGCAGGACAGAGCTGGGCTAGCAGCTGGTGGACTTCAGGGTCCTGGTGAGGTGCATGCGGATTTGCTCAGTGCCTCTTTGCCTGCTGCTTCCTTGCAGGATTTGAGTCAACTGCCTGGTCAGGATGAGCTGGAGTTTCCTGACGCGGCTCCTGGAGGAGATCAACAACCACTCGACCTTCGTGGGCAAGATCTGGCTGACTGTCCTCATTGTTTTCCGCATCGTGCTGACGGCCGTGGGGGGAGAGTCCATCTACTACGACGAGCAGAGCAAGTTTGTCTGCAACACGCAGCAGCCGGGCTGTGAGAACGTCTGCTACGACGCCTTTGCGCCCCTGTCCCACGTCCGCTTCTGGATCTTCCAGATCATCATGGTGGCGACGCCATCGGTGCTCTACCTGGGCTTTGCCATGCACCGCATCGCTCGCATGCCTGAGTCCTCGCGGCGCCGGACACCGCCAGCCCGGCGGGCACGCATGCCAGTAGTGCGCCGGGGAGCCGGGCGAGACTACGAGGAGGCAGAAGATGACAACGAAGAAGACCCCATGATCTTTGAGGAGATCGAGGTGGAGAAGGAGAAGAGCCCAGAGGGCGGAGAGAAGCATGATGGCCGGCGCCGTATCAAGCAGGACGGGCTGATGCGTGCCTATGTCCTGCACTTGCTGTGCCGCTCAGTGCTGGAGATGGTTTTCCTCTTCGGGCAGTACCTGTTGTACCGCTTTGAGGTGAGCCCCTCCTACGTCTGCAGCCGCAGCCCCTGCCCACACACTGTCGACTGCTTTGTGTCCCGTCCCACTGAGAAGACCATCTTCCTCCTCATCATGTATGCCGTCAGCGGGCTCTGCCTCTTCCTCAACCTCTGCGAGCTCTTGCACCTTGGTGTGGGGCGCATCCGTGATGCCCTGAGCCAGGCTGGTGGCCCCCCACTCCCAACCGGCGACAGCCCTGCACCACAGTACCCCAAGAAAGCCCCCAGCGCCCCACCCACCTATCACTCGCTGAAGAAGGAGCTGCCGCAAGCCCCGCTGACCAACGGCAAGCTGGACTACCGGGACAGCCTGGCCCAGGGCCGCTTCGCCCTGGCTGGGGCTCCCCCGGTGCACGAGCTGGACCGGCTGCGTGAGCACCTGCGTCTGGCCCAGGAGCACCTGGAGGTGGCCTTCCACCTCCAGCCCCCGCCGCGGCCCCCCAGTCCTGCCCGCAGCAGCAGTCCCGAGGCCAACGGCATCGCCGCCGAGCAGAACCGCCTCAACCTCGCCCATGAGAAGGGGACGGCCGCCTGCGACAGGACCACGGGTGAGCCGGGAAGGGGGATGGATCCAGCACACTGGGGTGGAGGCATGGGGGCTGCCCTGAGGCTCCCCTGGAGGGAGGATGCCATTCCCCCTGGGGCGGGTGCTAATCTGCTTTTTGCTCCCCACAGGGCTGTGAGTGCCACCAGGGACAGCAGCGGTGTCTGCCGGAGTGGCTGCCACCGCCACCGTGGGATAGGCGTCCTGCCAGGAGCACAGGGCAGAGGATGCCACACGCCTGCCCAGCAGGGTACTCTGGGTAGCCCTGTCCCGGTGGGCAGCAGAGGGGTCGGGAACCATGGGGTTCATTCCTACTTAATTTTCAAAAAGGGAATATCTTATTTTTGTACGTTTTTATAAACTCATCGACATGTGCACCCTGGCATTTTTATACTCAACTCTGGGCCTCTGCCCCCCCAACTCCTGTTTCACCCATTTTCCCCACCATGTTGTCCTCGCATCTCCTTGTGGCCCCGTGCCCTCTGCCACCTGTGGCAGCACCGGCTGGTGCTGTGTCTATGCTGGCGATTTTGGTAGTGCCCTCTGAGGTGTGAGGGACTTAGGGGAGCAGGCTGGGGGTCTGGCTGGCCGGGCCAAGCTGTGGGACAGAGTGCTGGGCTGGCATTACTCTTGGAGGGGGCGGGAGGGGTCCTGGTGGCACTGTGCTGCCAGAAGGTGACTTTGTGGTCTGGGGGGGCCATGCTGCACAGCATCCTGGCTTGGGACTATGAGTTGCGTGGCTGGCCTGCTTGGAAATGTCTGTGCAGAGGTCAGGGGCCGTCCTTCCCACTGCCTCCGCCCTGTCCTGGCAGGCTGCCCTTGGACCAAAACTTGTCTCCTCCCACTCTGGCTGCCGGGCTGGGACCCCCTGCACAGAGCCAGACCCTGGCCTCACAATGTGGGGACGTGGTGCCCCGAGCTGGGCTCGGCCGGGAGCCAGTGGAGCATTCCTCATCATCTCAGCCTGGGTCACATGGGGACTTTTGTAGCATTGTTTTTTACTTGGAAATGATCGTCACTCTGTTTTTCTTTTTTTTTATATCTATATTAGTAAAGGTTGAAGACGTTTTGTACTGAACTGCTGCATCCGCTCATTTGGGAGGAAGGGGTGGGGAGGGAATCCTGTGTGTCTGGGCTGGCGCTGCCATGCGTGCCTTGGGACCTCCCTGCTGCCCAGTGTGACTCAGTTGTTCCTGCCATGCAGGCAGGCGGCTCTGGCCGGGGCAGCCTTCATCATCCTGCTGGAGAGGGATTGCACTGGCCACATTCCTGTTCGGCCCTATCACTGTCAAGGGGCCAGGTGAGGGGCTTTCCTCTGCCTCCCCACCCTCCCACCATCCCCATGTCTCCCCAGCCCTCTGCTGCCCCTGTTCCTGCACAACCTATTGCCTGGAGCAGAAGGGATGTTGTTCTGCTCTGCACTCCCTTGCCTGGGGCAGGATCGAACCCAGGCACACCATGCCCATTTTGGCTAGCATACTCCAGTCCCCTCTCTGGTACCCCAAATCAGAACTGGATGCCTCTAACAGTACTTGCCCATGCCCTTCTGTGTAGAAGCCCCTGGGGAGGTCATTTCCCAGTGCACAACCGCCTGCCACCTCCGTGGCTGCTTCTGATGGAAGCTGGCATTTCCAGGCTGCTTTAGTAAAGGGAACAGGTTTATTTCACTTATCCCATTAAGCTTTCCAACAAGCTGTGCTGCTGGGAGAGGGCTCACTTGTGGTGCCACATGTGCTGCCAACCCTGCCACCAGTGTGAGGTTCTGGCATGGGCTCACCCAGGCACATCCTGATTCTGTTGCAGCAGCCTGGCCCTGCCTGGAGCACAGGGGAAGCTGTTGGACTCTGCAGCAGGAGCAGGACACCAGTCTTTGTGTGCAGAATTGCAGGAGGGAAGCAGGTGGGGGAGATGAGGGCTAATCTGGTTGCAGATACCAGGCTGGCTTTGGCAGGGCAGTGATGCCTTTGCCATAGGCTGTGCCTATTCTTGCCCCACCATGCTCTGATTTGCTCTGAGCTGGGACTGGCCTTAGGGCAAGTCTAGCAGTGTGATGGTACCTGGGCCTGCCCAAAAATCTGGCTTGTGCAGGGGAGGGTGGTACAGCCAAACTGCCCCGTCCCAGTGGCCAGGGTTCCACCGGGAAAGCAACTCCTCCTGGGTGGGATCACGGTCCGGGGCTGGGCTGCAGCATGCCCTAGACACAGGTGCAGTCCTGGGCCAGGATGTTGGGCACCGTCTCGTACTTGAAGGAGTAGCCGCCGTCGGAGGTGGTGCGGACGCGCAGGGAGCGCATGGTGCCGGGCAGGGCAGCGCAGCAGAGCTGCACACCCAGCCGGTGGCTCAGCCCGTGGCCTGCAGCGCAGCTCCCATGGCAGTAGTGGAAAACAAAGCTGCTGGGATGCACAATCCACTTGTCCCAGCCCAGCTCCTCGAAGGAGATGTTGAGGGAAGCCCGGCGACAGTTGGTGTGAGCAGCTAGCTCCTCGGATGGACGCTGCAGCAGGCTCAGGGCAGCTGGGGACCAGGGCATGGCAGAGCGACGAGCCCTCTCACTGCCCTTGGCCCGGGTGGTGGCCACCAGGAAGGGCATCTTGTCCCCCTCGGCTAGGCAGGGGCAGCCAGGGCAGCGCACCAGGAGCACGAAGAGCGGCTGGGAGAGCTGGGGCAGCAGCATCGGGGCCAAGTGAAATACTGTCCAGTGCTCGGGTGTCCGCTCTGCCATGGCCGTCACCGGAACCCGGCCCTGAGGTGACAGGGTCAGCACATCAGGGGTTGAGTGGTTGGGGGCAGCTGAGGGGCCAGTGTAAAACCAGAGCTGGGCAGAAGTCACCACACGGTTCAGGGTGTGTGCTGAGGGCTGGAAGAGGTAGGTGAAAATCCCTTCTTCCTCCAGCAGCTTGTCTGGCTGTGTGGGCTCACAGGGAACATCTGTGGGGGGGAAAAGGTGATCAGGGTGTGTGCCCAAACTTGGGGAGAATCCCCGGTACCAGATGGCAAGTGGGTTGTTGCAGAGGTCCCTGGGGTGCTGGCAGGGCATCTGGCTGCTGGCATAGGCTGCGGCAGGGGAGCTGATGTCCAGTGCTGTGCAGCACCTTCTGCGCTGTGCCCCACAGCTGATCCCAGCTATGCCCTAGGTTGGTCCATTACTGTCACCCCTGTCTGCCAGGATTCTGCCCCAAAGCTGGTTATCTTTCCCCCAGAGTCCGTATCATGCCTTGTCCCCCAGCATTCAGCCCCATAACTGGTCATCCTGTCCCCTTCTCCCATCCTCTGCAGCTGGGCCATCTCCCCAGCACCCTGGCCCATCTCCCAGTCCTGTCTTATAGTTGGTCGTCCTGCCCCCTTTCCCCCAGCATTCTGCCCCATCTCCTGCTGTTGTGCTTTATAGCTGGTCATCCTGCCCCATCCTTCAGCATCCTGCCCTGTCCCTCAGTATCCTAACCCACTTTTCAGTATCCTGCCCCATTCCCTAGCATCCCATCCTATTCCACCCTGCTCCTCAGCCCTCCCCATGTCTCCACATCCTGCCTGGCCAGCTGTTTCTCAGCCTCTCAGCACCCTCTTGTGCTGCCTGTCCCCCTGCTGTCTGTCCTGAGCTGTCCTGCCTGTCCCTGCCTGCCATACCTTTCTGTCTCCTGGCTCTCCACCAAATCTCACTCGTGCCCATGTCCCAGCTTGGCATACCTTCTTCCCCTTCTCCCACAGACCGCCACATCAGCCTCTCCATACTTCAGCATCTGCATTGCTCCAAACCCCCACCCTGCTTCACCCTTCCGCCCTCTCCATTTCATCAGGATGTTCTCACCTGTGGCAGGGAATAAGATCACCTGGGAGGTGTCCTCCAGCTCCTCTGGCTCCACTTCGGCGTTTTCAAGGACGTCTCTCCGGTGTACCCTCCTCGCTTCCATCTGTGGCTCCTCCTGGAGAAGGGGGGGACTCAGATGTTCCAGCACCCGGGCCCTCACCTTGGCCAGGATGAGCTGCCGGTCGGCACCCGCCGCAGTGCAGCTGGCCAGGGCGGCGCTGGGCAGCATGGCAGGCAGCAGGTGCAGGAGCAGCAGCATGACCGTGGGGCACACAGCAGGGTGGTGGCTCGGGGGGCTCTGCCGTGGGCTTCTGCCTGCCTGCCCAGCCCGTCTGCCCACTGCGCTCCCCCCGGGGCAGGGTGGCATTGAGATCTATCTGACACTGACGCAAACGTCTGCTCGCCGTGAATATTATCTCTGGGCTGTGAAAGCGCTGAGACGTCTGGAATGCGAGGACTGCAAGGACAGTGTGGTCTGGGGGGGGGG